CAAAAATAGACATAAAGGAGGAGATCCGTAGAGCAATGAAGGAATTTCAATGCATTCCTGACATTTCTGGTTTGAACTAGGAGGACTTATGCATTCATCCAAATTTGGACCTCCTAGAAAGTTTCAAGATGCCAAAGTGTGATACTTTGGAGGAACGGGGAATCCCATAGTGCATCTAAGGGCTTATTGTGACCAGCTCATAGGGGTTGGTAGAGATGAAGTTGCACTAATGCGGCTTTTTAGCCAATGTTTGAGCGGAGAAGCTTTGTAATGGTTTACATCTCACGAGACCTGACAGTGCCCCAACTGGAATGCTTTAGCTAAGGACTTCATTGAATGGTTTTCCTACAATGTAGAGATCGTCCACGATTTTTATTCCTTAGAAAAGATGAAACAAAACAAATGAAAGCTACAAAGAGTTTTCGTATAGATGGCAAAAAGAAGCAGCTAGAGTACGGCCTCCTCATATGTACGAAAATGAGATAGTTGAAGTGTTTGTGCTTGTGCAACAGCCCGAATACTATGATAGAATCATGTTTCTTGTTGGAGAAAAATTTGTTGATATAGTCAAGGTTGGTCATACTATCAAGGATGGGTTGAAAACTGGGAAGATTGCCCATGTTGTTGCGTCACCCGAATCATCGGGGTTGTTGAAGAAAAAAAATAGAAGATAATTTTGTTGTCTCTTACGAAGAGAGGACAACCTCCAGAAAACCATCGTCCTACCAAGGTCATCCTCGGAATTCCAATAATACTTACCAAGCTTACTATACGCAAGGTGGTTATCAAAATTTTCCTCCACCCATCTACCAAAATTCTACCTCCACATACCAAAATGTACCCACACCAAATTGCCAAAATCCATCTACCGTTTACCAAAATTCTCCTCCGTTTTATCAAATTCCATCCCCATTAACCAAAATGTTGCTCTTAATTGTGCCAATGCGCAGTCAAACTATAGAGCACCCCCAGTATATCAAGTTCAAGCTCCACTGTACCAAAATACGCCTTCGAATTAACAATATCCATTACCGAACTATCAAACAAATCCTTATCAAAGAAACAAAACTCCTCGCCCAAATACCTAAAATTATCAACAAATGCCTCCTCCCTAACAAGGCAACTATGATCCCCTCGACCCAAAGTTGAGAAGAATCCCCCCATAAACTTTGCCAAGCTCGCTGAAAGACGAACAAAGTTGTACGAGCAACTGACTGTGGATGGATACATTCACCTGGTGGGGCCCAAACTGGTGGATACTAGTTCGAAATTCTATAGATCCGATCAAAGGTTTGCGTATCACTATAACAGTGTTGGAAATGATAGTGAGGATTTTATCAACCTCAAACACAAGATTCAAGATTTGATCGACCAAGAAGTGGTTTCTCTTCAAACAGTCGCACCCAATGTCAAGACAATCCTTTGCCGAATCATGAAGGCGTCAATATCAACATGATAGAGACAGATGATGACTGGTGCATGACTAAGGCTATAACTCTTATTGTTCATGATGAGTTAGAAAGGGTTATGGCCTCGCTGAGCAATATGGAGAAAAAAGGAGTTTGTGATCTTGACACCCGCAAAGGTTGTAGCCTTGGTGCCATTAGAAACTCTTGCTAGGCCAAAGTTTGTGATTGAAACATCTATCGCTTAGGGTATTACTCGATCTGGAAGGTGTTATACATTTGAAGAGTTGGATCATGGAGGTAAGAATAAGGACCAAGTAAAAAGGCCGATAAGTGAGGGCGAGGCTGAAAAATTCTAAAGGAAGATACAGCCCCAAAACTATTTGATCGTTAAGCATCTAGAGAAAACCCTGGCTAAGATTTCTGTGTGGGCCCTATTGATGAGCCCCCAGCTGCATAAGCAGGACTTGATGAATTCTTTGTATGACACTTATGTGCCCATAAGCACAAGAAGTGATAATGTAGAGGCTATGATCAACAATGTTATCCGAGGGCATAGGATTACCTTCTGTGACAAAGAGTTTCCCTTTGAAGGGAGGTCACACAACAAGGCATTGCATGTCACTGTCACATGCCGGGAAAGGGTCAAAAACCGTGTCATGGTGGATCATGGGTCTGGTGTCAACATTTTCCCACTGTTGACTCTGAGACAGTTAAGGTTTGGCTTGGGGAAGCTGGAACAAAACCAAATCAATGTTAGAGCCTTCGACGGGGTATAAAGAGACACATTGGGAGCAGTGAGTTTGGTCATCCAAATGGGCTCGGCGAATTACAGTGCACAGTTTCAGGTCATGGACATTGACACCAAATATAACCTTCTTCTAGGAACGCATTTCATCCACATGGTTGGGGTTGTGCCTTCTACTCTTCACTAGATGATGAAGCTCGTTTGGAAGGAACTAGAACTAGTTATTCATAGCGAAGAGAGTCACTCCAACAGACAGGCGCAATTATTAATGAAGTCTCATGAGGCACCAATTTCTACATGGTGGAGCTGATAAATGCCACCGGTAATGATTTAGCCCCCACAACCTCCTATTTCTTCTGTGTACCAGATGATCGCCACTGTGATGCTACATAATGGGTTCAGCCAGGTTTCATATTGGAAAGGAATTCCCAAGAAATTATTGAGTCTATTAAAGTTTCCGCCAATGGAGCGAGATATGGTTTGGGATACGTCCCCACAGATGATGAGATGAAGATGAAGAACAGTGATCAAGCATTGGCTAAGCCAATCCCTCATCTGTATCAATCATTTCCAGTCCGTGAGTACGCCGATCATGACGACCTTGTGGAAGGGATCTGTGGCCTTTTTGAAGAGATCGATGTTGTCATAGAAGACGAAATTTAGCTAACTGGTATCCGTGATTCTAAGCTTGGAGAGCCCCTACAGAACTGGACTTCCATACAAATCTTGATTCCTCGATCATTTTGGTAGAAGGACATTGTTTATGCATGATTTTAAATTTGGTTGTAGTCCGGAAGAGACTTGAAACTCATCATTTTGATTTCTATTGAATTGTCTGAAATTTAAAATTCCCCATCTGATGTTTAAAAAGGCAACATGGTCCTTTGCCATGAAAAAAGTTTTGCATTATTTTCCAATTTGAATGAAAGCATCTTTTATTAAAAACTTGTTTGTTACTTTTCTGCTATATTTTACTTTTCTAACTTTGTTTGTTTATTATTTTAGTAATATTAATTTTAAACATGCCAATGTCATGTAATATCACGATCTGAACAAACAAAATGAGGAAGATGATGACGAGGGTGAAGAATACGAAGAGGAAAATGAGGTACCGGAATATGTCATTGAGAAATTTCAACAGTTCGAAAATCAACATAAGCCAAATTTGGATAAAACTGAGACTACGAATTTGGGAGACCAAGAGTGTGTCAAAGAAGTCAAAATAAGTGTCCACCTGAATGAATCTCAAAGAAAGGATTTTATTTATTTGCTAACTGATACATTGATGTGTTCGTATGGGAAGTCAACGACATGATAGGACTATGTACCAATGTGGTGTCTCACAAGTTGTCGATTAATTCGGAGTTTAGTCCAGTGAAACAGAAAGCTCGGAAGTTGAAGCTTGAATTAAGTTTAAAGATTCAAGATGAGATCACCAAACAAATTGAGTCACTATTAGTAGAAATGACACAATACCCGACTTGGTTGTCAACCATTGTTTCGGCCACAAAAAAATATGGGAAGATCATAATTTTTTTTGATTACTCGAATTTCAACAATGTCAGGCCAGAGGATAATTTTCTGTTGCCAAACATTCATATTCTGATCGATAATTATTCTAAGCATGAAATGCAGTGATTTGTGGATTGTTACATAGGCTATCATCAAATCCTCATGGACGAATAAGATGCAAAAAAGACAATTTTTATTACTCCTTGGGGTGTATATCATTACAGGGTTATTCTATTTGGTCTCAAAAATGTTGGTGCTACTTATATGAGAGATATGTAGACCATATTTCATGATATGATTCATAAGGAGATCGAGGTGTATGTAGATAGCGTCATAATTAAGTCCCGCGAGAGTTCAGACAATTTGACTCATTTTAGAAAGTTCTTTGATCGTCTACGTCATTACAACTTGAAGCTAAATCCTGCCAAACGTGTTTTTGGAGTGCCGGCTGGCAAGTTGTATGGACTTATAGTCAGCAGGAGGGGTATTGAGCTCGATCCTTTCAAGATCAAGTGGATTCAGGAATTACCGCCTCCATACTCTAAGAAGGAAGTCATGAGTTTCTTAGGGAGGTTGAACTACATTAGTTGATTCATATCTCAATTAACTGTGGTGTGTGAGCCTATCTTCAAGCTGTTGAAGAAAGATGATTTGACAAAATGGACTGAAGAGTGTCAGAATGCTTTCGATACTATCAAGAACTATCTATTCAATCCACCGGTGTTTGTTCCTCTGTGAGAAGGGAGCCGTTGTTGCTATATTTGTATGTTTTAGATAACGCAGTTGGATACGTACTTGGTCAACATGACGAGACATGGAAGAAGGAGCGAGTAATTTATTACATAAGCAAAAAGTTCACTCCATATGAGTCTCGTCATACTCTTTTAGAAAGAACATGGTGTGCTCTAAATTGGATTACCCAGAAATTGAAGCATTATTTGTCTTCTTGTTCTACATATCTCATTTCAAGGATGGACCCATTGAAGTATATTTTCCAGAAGGCGATCCCGAACAGAAAGTTGGCTAAATGGAAAATGCTTTTAAGTGAATTTGATATTGTGTATGTGACTCAGAAGGCGATAAAAGCACAAACCTTGGTTGTTCATCTTGTCGAAAATCTTGTCGATGAAAAGTATGAACCGCTAAAGACTTATTTTCCCGATGAATAAGTATCATTTGTGGGTGAAGATATTTCTGAAGCATATCCGGGTTGGAGGTTATTGTTTGATTGAGTGGAAAATCACCAAGGAAGAGGGATTGGAGCAGTTTTAGTGTCAGAATGTGGTCAACACTATACCATTGTAGCTAATCTCCGATTTAATTGCACAAACAACATGGCTGAATATGAAGATTGTATTCTTGGATTGATAATGGCCATCGACATGAATGTCCACGAGTTTCTGGTTATTTGAGATTCAGATTTTTTAATTCATCGGGTACAAGGAGAATGGGTTGTGGAAAAACCAAAAATTATGCCATACGTGCAGTACATACGGAAGTTGTGCAAAAGATTCCCTAAGATTGAGTTCAGACATACTCCCATAATACATAATAAGTTGGCCGATGATCCTGCCACCATCGACACAATGATTAAACATCCAGATGCCGATTATATTGATCCTATGGATATAACGATAAAGGAGAAACCATTACATTGTTCCTATGTTGAAGAAGAACCCAACGGTTTGCCATGGTATCTTGATATTAAAAAATATTTAGAGTCCGAAACTTATCCTGAGAATGCGACGTCTAACAAGAAGAAATCAATACTCCGTTTGGCCCTCAATTTCATTCTGAGTGGAGAAGTAATTTATAGGAGGACCTCAGATTTAAGTCTCCTCACATGTATCGATGTTGTTGAAGTTGCGAAGCTTATCAAACAAATACATGCTAGAGTTTATGGTAAGCATATGAATGGGGTCACTTTGGCGAGAAAGATCCTTCGAGCCGGCTATTTTTTGGATGACTATGGAGCATGATTGTTGCAAGTTTGTGTTGAAATGTCATATATGTCAAGAGCATGCTGATTTGATCCGAGTGCCGCCTCACGAACTCAATGTTATGAGTTCACCTTGGTCATTCATAGTTTAGGGTATAGATGTCATCAGTATAATAGAGCCAGCCGCTTCTAATGGACATAGGTTTATTTTGGTTACCATTGATAACTTCACCAAGTGGGTGGAAGCAACTTCTTACAAGCCGATAACCAAGAAAGTTTTAGCGGATTTTGTTCGCAATAATTTGATATGCAAGTTTGGAGTACCAGAATCCATCATTACTGATAATGGTGCAAATCTCAATAGTCACTTGATGAGAGAGATATATGATCAATTTAAGATCATTCACCGAAATTCAATTGCTTATCGTCCCTAAATGATCGGAGTTGTAGAGGTTGTCAATAAGAATATCAAGATGATTTTGAGGAAAATAATCGACTATCATCGAGGTTGGCATGATATGTTATCATATGCTTTGTTGGGTTATTGAATGACTCTAAGAATATCGATCGGAGCTACTCCATGTTTGCTAGTATATGTAACAAGAAGCAGTCATACCTGCTGAAGCTCAGATACCATCCTTGAGAATTATCAAAGAAGCTGAGTTTAGTATTGTTGAATGGGTCAGCTAGCGGATTGATCATTTAACTTGATTTATCAGAATAAAGATGGTTGTTGTTTGTCATGGGCAGCTATATCGATAGATAATGATTCATGCTTTCCACAAGAATGTCAGCGTCAGAAGTTTTGAAATCCGTCAGTTGGTCCTCAAGTGCATTTCTGGAAGAGTACAAAGGGAAATTTGCACCGGATTGGCAAGGCCCTTACATGGTTCGCAAATTATTATCTGGAGGTGCCTTGGTCTTGTCGGAGATGGATGCACTGTCTAGCTAAAGACGATACACTAATATGTTGTCAAAAAATACTACGTGTAAAGCTTAATTTGCATTTTTTCATTTCCTTTTATTCATTTTGTTTTTGCTTGTAATCGCTTTGTTTTGAATTTTATCCCTTTTGTAATGAACTACGTCTGACCTGAGTTCTCAAGAATGATATACGTAGGTGGTCTATGTTGGCCTCGGTCACCCATTTATCCATTTTTATATTTCTTTGTATTGGAACTACGTTCGACCTGAATTCTCAAGAATGAGATACGTAGGCGGCCTATGTCGGCCTCGATCAGTTTCTTTATGAATTTCTTATTATTGTTAACCTTTGATGGGAACTATATTTTACCTGATTCATGTCTCAATGGGATACGTAGGCGCCAAGAGGATTCGGTCATATCTCCCGTAAGATTTCTATTTTGCCTTAAAATAGAAACTGGGAGAGATTTTCCTCAATGAGTCAAGACTAAAGTTACTCTGCAATTGACAATTGGGAAAGAATTTTCGGGAGGATCTCAAAAATTCCGTGATTTACTCACCGGCTGTTGAAGATAAGCCGAGACATGGAACTGGGACAAAAATTTTGAGGATGGCCTAAAAAATTCAACATAGTTTTATGGGCAGTCTTGAGTGTCTTGGAATACTCTTCAATGAATAATCAGATAGATCTCCAAGCATCAGACTCAAAGAATTTCACTAATCTTGATGTGACATGATACTTGGCAGTAACCGTTTTTCAAAATACTACTTTTTGAAATTTATTTTTCATAAAATTTTTTCCTCTATTTCATTTGTTTTGGCATAAAATATTTTGTCTTATCTATCAAGAGTCAGGAGATCAGAAATCAATCTGAGATAGCAGAACAAGGAGCAGACAACTAAAGAAATTGACACAGATCAGTTCTCTTTAAAACTAATGATTTTTCTATGAAAGAATGTTTATCAGTTTGCTCTAAAATCAACAAGTTCTTACGATTGAGGAATATGGAGAAGTCAAGGGGGCGAAAAGCTCTCCCCAAAATTTACAATTTTTTTGTGTATACAGGAATTATTTTATATTGCTTATATCAAAGACATGGAAACGTGATAAACATTGTTTCATCCAAATCCCAACAACACAATGTCTATAGCAAAGATACAACCATGTTCAAGAATAAATCAAATGAAAATCTAGAGAAAGAAAATTTACGGCTTTTCGTCAAGGACTTCATCTGCATCGTATTAGCAGACGTGACAGTTTCACTACCTGGAGGGTCATTTTATTTGTATTGTCGATTGAAATGATACACCACCCGGAGGGACATTTTATTATCGATTTAAGTGATACACTACCTAGAAAGTAATTTTACCATATCACTTATTATCGATTTAAGTGATACACTACCTGGAAAATAATTTTATCATCTGCATCGTATATGCCGACGTGACAATTTCACTACCTTGAGGGTCATTTTATTTTTATTGTCGATTGAAATGATACGCCACCTGGAGGCCATCTTATTATCGATTTAAGTGATACACTACCTAGAAAGTAATTTTACAATATTGTCAATTGAGACGATATCACTATCCAGAGGGCACCCAGAAGATCATTACGTGGCTTGATTGAAGCACTGTCTTCATTTGGTACCAAAGGCATTCATGCCTCGTGGAATATCATGCATCGTGGGAAGATATTCATGCCTCGCAAAGAATGTCATGCGCCACAAGAAAGTATTCATCCATCGCGATAAATCATGTATCGCGAGTTGATATTCATGCATTGGGGGAAAATATTCATGCCTCACGCAAAGTCATGCATCACGAGTTAATATTCATGCATCACGGAAATATATTCATGCCTCGGGGAAAATCATTCATCGCAAGATTTTATTCATGCATCGCGGGAAGATATTCATGCATCGCGGGTAGTATTCATGCCTCGCGGAAAGTCATGCATTGCGAGTTAATATTCATGTATCGCAGAAAATCATGCATTACGAGTTGATATTCAGGCATCGCAAGAAGATATTCATGCCTCGCGGAAAATCACGCATCGCGAGAAGACATTCATGTATCGCCAGAAGATATTCATGCCTCGCAGAAAATGTCATGCACCGCCAGAAGATATTTTTCTATAGGTTTTTGACTTTGTTAGAGTCGCTGATTAATTTTTTATGAAAAATCAAGAAACACTTAGTTTTCAAAAGACTTAAAACTAAAAATCGATCGAAAACTTAAAGGAGTTCGGGGATTCATATTTATACTTTAGTAAGGTTTTTACAGTACCTTAAATATTAACTAACTCGCGATTATCCTACACTAACTTGTTTAGGTAAAATTTCTAACTTAAATTTTGAGATGAAAATTCTTTAAAATTGTTTGAAAGGTGAAGTATCAATTTTTTTTATCTAATTAAGCTTTGTGAAAATTTATTTTTAAAGTTTATTTATACTTAATCGATTTAGGTAAGTGATCAAAACGAGATGAAATCTTGCAGGGATTCGAATATTTTAACCCTAAAACTAATGGCAGAAATCGATAAGCAAATAGGCGAAAAGTAAAAGGAGAGAGAGGAGAGTTGGGTCCAAGTCCGATTTTTGTCCGCCTGGACCGGTTTTTGAACCCATTTTATTTTGGATCTTTGGAGTATTTCCATTTGTACCTATTCTAATCTAAACAAAAAATAAGATTAAATAAAGGCGAAAAAGGCTTAAGCCCCACAAAAAACAAAATACATGACTTAGAAAATAAATTTGACCCTTTTAGCCTAAAGTCATCAAGTTCTTGGATACCTATGTGTTGGTTTTTATGGGCTTGACTTGAGTAAGGAACTGAGCCTCTGTGGCTCAATAAGAAGATGTGGGGATGGGAGGATGAGCCCATGCAGACTCATGATTCACATGCAACAAAGAACATAAATAAAGCATTGGCACTTACTGTAACGAAAGTAATAAAGTAGTTATACAAACTTTCTAACTAATATATACCCGACTTCAATAAATTCCAATAATGGTAATCTAAGACGAAAAAAATCGAAGTGATAGCCTAATGCAATATTCAAGATAGTGAAGGTTGACACGATCTTACCATCGGTAGGGTCGAATTCTCAAAGAAACATGAATGAAATAGTGAAAAGGCTAGGAAACAACAACTATATAAATTAAGGTGCATTAAAATCCAAAGAACCAAATTTTCAAATATGACGTACTACTCATGATTATTAGCATTGATATAAGATCTCCCAAAGCTCTCTTGTATTATGACACTATAATAAGCATTTGAAAAATACTATCGAGACAATCAATCATTAAAAAGATAAGAAACCGATTAACTAGCAAAGGAAAACTACCGACAATACATGAATAATAAATAAAAATCTGCATTAAGACATAAGCGACCCAACAGAAACCAAACTGTTAGAAAATTACACTATCAAAGCAGTAGCACTAAAACATGGCAAATAGTTGAGTTACATAATTATATTTTTGTCGAAGTGTACCACTAAAATGAAAATTGGGCTACAAGGGCAAACAAATAGTCATGATAGCAACACACTGGTTTTTTAGATGCTGAAACCAAACAAAATAGTGAGGAAAGAGTGACTTTATTTCAAATAACGCTACGATCTTAAGTCCACACGGTACCTAAAACAATATTCATTTTCATATGAGACAATTTTGAGAAATCATCTTTCATTTTTTGAAGAAGAAACAGCCCTCAACATTAGAATACTGAAATGAGCCCATTTTTTGGCGTCTTAAGACATTTAAAACATCACAAAAAAAAGATTTGAACATCCCAAAATGAATGCGAGGAAAGAACTAATACGATGTCCTGAGTCAGATGATACAACTTCACCATCATGCATCATATATCCATTAATATGTCCAATCTGATACAGCTTCACCATCAATATCACCTTCCAACATTGAAGCAGATGATGTTATACAATTTCCTGAGTCAGATGATGACTTTAAAGACCCACTAAAAATCAATTAACAACAAGGGAAAGGAAAAGATTGTATCTTATTCTGATATCTTAACTATCAAGAAGCGTCTTAGGTAATCTGTCCCGGTTTTGTCAAAGAAGATCCCACCCAAAGTTATTCAAGA